TAATAATAATAATAAGAAGAAGAAGAAGAAGAAGAAGAAGAAGAAGAAGAAGAAGAAGAAGAAGACTGCAGCACCGTCTCTGCAAAAGGTAAGGGATTCCTGTTCAAGAAGATCTAAAGGGGTGGCAGGGGTGGCAGGGGTGGCAAGCCACAGAATTCCCGTTGTTGGAAAGGGCTGTGGGTGACAGGATTTGGCCTTTTTGCCTCCTGTACCAGGTGTCTTGGGTGTCAGTCCTGCTGCCAGAGCCCTCAACCCCCACCCGGTCGTTGCTCTGACTCCGGGAGAAAGCGCACCTGTCGCACCTGTCCCGGGAGCGCAGAAGAGCGAGCGAGCGAGCGAGCCGCCAACCTTTCCCGAGCGCCAAAGGCAGAAAAGACGCAGGCGCCCCCCCCCCCCGGGTCCCTTCCCCCGCGCCGCTCTCCCGGCCGGTCGCCCTGCCTCTCACCTCCTTCTGGCCGCAGCGCAGGCACGCCGGCAGGTTGAGCCACCCCATCTGTGCGCTCCGTCGCTGGACTGGCGGACTGTGAGCCGCTCCCCCCAGTCAGAGCAGCCTTTATGGTGAAAGGCGGCCCGGCCCCTTCCCCGGGAGAGTCTGGCAAGGTGGAGCTCAGAGTGGAAGAGGAGGAGGAACAGGTGGGTGGGTGGCAGCGGCGCTCGTCCCGTCTGCGGGAGAGAGGGACGAGCCCGAGGAGAAGGGAAGGGAAGGACTCGGGAACTGCTCTTCAGTCCAGCCGGCCCCTCCACCTGCCCACCGTCGACTCCAGAGTTTCCCCTGACAGTCCCCGATCACCACTTCCCATCCTTGGACTAAGCATCCTTTCAGCCAGGCTCTCTTCCTCCAGGGAAGCCCCAGCAGTGTGTCCTTAGTGCTTTTCTTCCCTCTATCCTCCCCTGACAGTTTGTCTGCCTGCTTCTTCCTCTAGATGTTCCTCTACAGGTCCATTTTCCTTCCCATGCTCAGGTTCCTGCCCGCAGACAGCCCCTCATACAACTACCTGTGTAACCAGTCACAGAGCTCTCTCTCTCTCTCTCTCTTTCTTTCTCTCTTTCTCTCTTTCTTTCTTTCTTTCTTTCTTTCTTTCCCTCCCTCCCTCCCTCCCTCTCTCCCCCCTTCTCTTCATCACCCTTAAAACTCTTCTCCAAAACATAATGCTTTGCAAAGAGTCCAGAAGCTCCAGTTTCTTTTCTCCCTTCCAAGAAATGACAAGAGATCACCCACGGTTTCCAGCTGGAAAAGTCAGACGGAAAAATGACACCTGATCCCAGGACAAGCAGGCAGGCAGCAGGGATGGTGCTGCTTCGTGCAGCCCAGGCCATCCAGTCACCTGTCTCTGCATCCTGTCCTCCCCTCCCTCCCAACCCCTCCCTCTGTATCTGTCAGTCCCTCGATCTGCCTTTCCATCTATTCATTAACTTCTCCATTAAATCCATTTCTGTCTGCATCTTTCTCATTGATATGCAGCTACTGGAGAGAGTGAATGGGTTGGTTTTTTTTTTTTTGGCCAAATTTCTATCCAGCTATTATCTTTCCTGAGCAGTTGTATATATTTTGCAATCTATGTTTTTCAGCTCCATTACATAATTTAAAAGGGCAAACGCATAGAAGCTTCCCTGTCTTCTAAAATATGACACACACAGCCCTTTCCTGTTCCCAAAATAGTGCAAAAAGGGGTGGGTGATTTTTTACAACGGGAAAAGTTTTAAAATGATAACACAAAACTAAACAACATTAGGCAACTACGTTAAAAACAACAACAGGAAGATTGCAAGCCAGGCTCACATGGTATGACTTGCTACTTTCCCAGAAACTGACAGACAGAGATTTTGTCTTCCTCTGAACAGAGATCAGGATATGGTAGGGAGACGGGAGCTCAAAAACCTTCCTCACCAGAGCCTTACTGCTGTTTCACTGTCAGCAGATCCCATCTGTTGACATATTAAATGGAGGACGGGGTGAAGAGAAACTTCAAAAGGGAAGCCAGGAGTTGCCCCATCACCTGCCTGCACCCACATGTTCTGCCACCCATTCATCCTGAGCAACAAACTTCTTTGTTGAGATGCGTCTTCTCAGGGAAGAGGAAGAAAGTTCCATGGGAGTCAGAGCCATCCATTCCAGATGATGTAATGGGTCCAGATCTCAGTTCTGATGGGACTCGGAAAACACATTAAGTTTTTGGATTTCTCTTAAGGTTGGCAAGTTATTTATTTAGGAATTTATACCCTGCCTTTCTCCACAACAGAGACCCAGAGTGTTTTACATCATCCCCCATTTTACCCTCACAAGAACCCTGTGAGGTAGGTTATACTGAGACTGTATGACCTTCCTTCCACGGTTTCCACGGCACAATGAGAAGTTTCCACGGCACAATGAGAATTCGAACCTGAGTCTCCTCGATCCTGGTCTGACATTCTAACTACCACACTCCATTGGCTTACAGTGTACCGTTTGACTCATTCCATCCCAAAATAGTATTTCATAGAGCTGGGAAAGGGACAGAAAAGGGCAACCAAAATGACTAACGGGAATGGAGCTCCTTCCCAATGAGGAAAGGCAGGGGAGTCTGGGATTTTTCAGTTTACAGAAACGTTGGCTAAGGGATGGGGTATGATAAAAGTTTATAAAATTATGAATGCTGTGGAGGCAGTGGATAGAGAAAACATTTTCTCTCCAAAAACACAGGAATGGGTGTGCCAAATGAAGTTCATAAACAGTAGATTCATGACAAAAGAAAGTACCCTCTTCACACAGTGCCCAATTGATTTATGGAATTCATTGTCAAGGGATGTGATGATGAACGCTGGCACTCCAGAGAGGGACAAATTTTATTGAGGAAGAGAGAGTTATCAAAAGCTATTAGTCAGAACAGCTGAAGGGAACCTCCATAGTCAGATGCAGTATACCTGTGAAAGATAGATATTGAGGATGTCCACCTGACAGTCTTCTGATGGTGGAAGAAAGCTCCATATTGACAGCATATGGCCAACCAAGGAATAGATGGAGCTTTGGTCTAATGCAGTGGGGACTGTTCTTCTGTTCTCATTAAGTTACCTCATTTCAAAACCACTTAATATACAGCAATGAAAAACCAATATAAAACACCAGAAAACATTTTGACAGTATTTTGTATCTAGAAAACATGGAGTCCTGGGGCATTTTCCTCATCCTTCTTCCAGTACTGGGATAATCTGCATGACACATTAACTATATTTATTGACTTGATTATTCATCCCTTAATTCACTCATCTGTTTTTAGAACATCTGTTATCATCCTTCTGGAAAAAATACATCACTCCAGTCTTTGTTCTCCCCCCCCCCAAAAAAAAATATATATAAGATGCACAAGAAATAAACAATAAATTATCATAGTGCTTTTGAGGCTCACAAATCTATTGTGGCGTAAATGTACATGGGATGAATGAAAGAAGGCTTCAGTCAGCAGCTGGGTGTTCTGGAAGCAGCTTTGTTCCTGGATGATGCTGTGGAGGCAGTGGATAGAGAAAACATTTTCTCTCCAAAAACACAGGAATCTGGGTGTGCCAAATGAAGTTCATAAACAGTAGATTCAGGACAAAAGAAAGTACCCTTTTCACACAGTGCCCAATTGATTTATGGAATTCATTGTCAAGGGATGTGATGATGGACGCTGGTACTCCAGAGAGGGACAAATTTTATTGAGGAAGAGAGAGTTATCAAAAGCTATTAGTCAGAACAGCTGAAGGGAACCTTCATAGTCAGATGCAGTATACCTGTGAAAGATAGATATTGAGGATGTCCACCTGACAGTCTTCTGATGGTGGAAGAAAGCTCCATATTGACAGCATATGGCCAACCAAGGAATAGATGGAGCTTTGGTCTAATGCAGTAGGGACTGTTCTTCTGTTCTCATTAAGTTACCTCATTTCAAAACAATATACAGCAATGAAAAACCGATATAAAACACCAGAAAACATTTTGACAGTATTTTGTATCTAGAAAACATGGAGTCCTGGGGCATTTTCCTCATCCTTCTTCCAGTACTGGGATAATCTGCATGACACATTAACTATATTTATTGACTTGATTATTCATCCCTTAATTCACTCATCTGTTTTTAGAACATCTGTTATCATCCTTCTGGAAAAAATACATCACTCCAGTCTTTGTCCCCCCCCAAAAAAATAAGATGCACAAGAAATAAACAATAAATTATCATAGTGCTTTTGAGGCTCACAAATCTATTGTGGCGTAAATGTACATGGGATGAATGAAAGAAGGCTTCAGTCAGCAGCTGGGTGTTCTGGAAGCAGCTTTGTTCCTGGATGCCAGAAGTGCCTTTTGTCAACCCAGGTGGATGCAACTTTGTGGAGGCCCCAATTCTGTACGTTCTGGTGACTTCCAAGCAGGGTTCATTATATGTCCGACACAGAGCTGCCTTTGAAGAACTCTCACAACTGCAACTGATAGAAAATATGCTTGTTCGACCGTTGATAGGCGCCTCCAATATGTTTCCAAGTCAAACAAAGTGCTGGTTTAGACCCTTAAAACTGAAAGAGTTTGAGATATGGGTACCGCAAGGACCATTTGCTCTGCCTGGGTCATTAGGAGAGGCCGTGCTCAGTGCTACCACCATCAGAAGATTGTCAGGTGAACACATAGGGTTGCAGCATTGAGATTCTGGATCTGGAACTCCCAGCCACAAAAGAAGAAGAGATTGGAGTCTCAGGGTGCATTCAGACGGCCTGCCGGGAGCGGTTTAAACTTCTGCGGTTCCAAGTGGACTAATTTGATCCAGGGCAAGCACGGTCATACTCACCTCCCTCACCGCGCAACACATCACTCCAAGGCATCCACACTAGGCGTGCAGCAGCATGCATCGGCGGTTTTTAAATTATTATTATTTTACATTTTGCACATGCGCATAGGCAGCCATCCACAGAATTGAGATCTTCGTGCAGGCGCAGAACACTCTGTCCCAAAAAGCATGCCCTGAAGGAACACTGCCCATTAAACTTTTACAGCGAAAAGGGCCTCCGTGAGGTCCCGGACTTGTCCGAAGCCTAAAACTAAACACTTTTTAAAAAAATTAACATCGGGGTGAAGCTTCGCCCAAGCGCATATCGCTGAGGCTAAAAAAAAATGGCGGACGAAAAGCGGAAGCCTCGAGCTTCCCAGCAGAAGTGGCTCTACACTGGTGGAGAGCGATCAGACGGGGAGAAAGTGGCTAGAACCAGAGCACTCAGGATAACACCATTTGGGTACCTAGTGGCAAACTACCCTGGTTTAAGGGTGTTTGTGACAGCTGGCAACGGTTAGGGACAGAAGGCAGATGTTGTGCGTGTGATCACGCGTAAGTACTCCGTTTCTAACCGGCTTCTATACCAGCTTAAATGCCCCAACTGAATGCACCCTCAGAGTGGCTTACAAACTCCCTTCCCCTCCCCACAACAGACACCCTGTGAGGTAAGTGGGGCTGAGAGAGCTCTTTCAAGGACAGCTCTGACAGAACTATAGCTTGCCCAAGGTCATCC